TGATTTTTTGATCGTTAGAAGAAAAGTGAGGTCCACATGAGAGAGAGGAAGTCAAAAATTATAGCTGAAATAGTAAAATAACGATTTAAAAATCAATTTTTTAGGATAAAAAATCCCTCCCAAACAGACTCTGTATCACATAAAAATAGAGAAAGGATCTATACGCAACCCTGAATTGACGTTTGAAATCTTGTTTACACGTCTTGAATCCTTTTTTCCCCCTTTTATATATCCTAATTCTATATGTCATCCTTTTTTTCTCTTTTTACAGGTAATAAATTTGACAAATAGTATATTTATTTCGAACATATTAAAGAAGAATACCTTGTAGTTACGTTAGCAGAAAGAAATTTAGGCCATGTTTGATTGGCAAATCTTTTTCATGAAAAATGGAAATTCTCACTTTCAAGTGATTGAAATGGTTTTTTTTTTTTTTGCCATGGAATTCAAGTTCCATGTTTTCTTGGACTTTGGACTTTTCTAGCTTTTTAGGGAACATGGTGAGAATTGATTTTCCCGGTTACTACAGCATATATGTATTTTTTTTTTCTTTTTTTTGTTGGCAAAGTTAACAAATTCTAAAAATTATTGTAAAAAAAATATTTCCCTTTAATTGACAATTTTCATATAAAACAAAACCAAACGAAAACCAAAAGTAAATGATTTTCTTGAATTTTTTTTTTTTTGCAATGGAAACAAATTTCATCTTCAACACCAGTAAATTCTATCCCTTTAATTGACAATTTTCATGTAAAATAAAGTCAAACGAACATAAAAAAATACTATTATTTCAATATTTTCCTCGTGAAAATTTATATCAATCAAACACAATAATTTACAATTCTCAGAAAAATAATTTCTAGACAATTTAATTCTTTAGAATTCGTTTTCAATTCAATTCAATTCCATCTTTGCAATCAAACGAATCCTTAGATCAGTCTAACAATGCCCTCAGAAATCTTACACGTGGAGCATATTTGGCTATGTTTAAAACTTAATTTATAGAAACGCAATTTATTTTTATTTTTTTATTTTTTTGTAATCAAGTAATTTCGAAAATCTTGTTTGGGAAAATAAATAATTTAATACAAACACAATCCCGCGCAAGAGAATCGAGATTGTACTCAAAGCACGTTCAATCACAAAGGACCAAATTTATGAGGCATTTGTCGTGGATCTCTAACAAATATACATAATAATGTGTACAAAACAGTATCATTCATGAAATGCAATGACTTGTGTCTTCTTTAACGAAGAAAATAAGAATCGACATGCTAAAACGAGAGCAAGACTTCAAATTCTAGCACGAAAAACCGGGTTCACAAGGAACTCAAAGCATTAATAACCGAAAATGCATTTTGCTTATGGAATTTACATGAAAGCTGCTTGATTTCTAAGGATTTACATTTCTTGTCCTCAACCCCCCCCCCCCCCCCCCCCCCCCCCCCCCCCCCGATTCCAATAGTTGAAAGGTGAATGCTAAAACTAGTCGGCCCATGTGATCTTCCCTGTGACTGAGGCAGAAAAATAGGACTTGAAACAGAGAAAAGAAACTGTATGTCAATGAGCTAGGTCCTCACTTCCTATGCGACAATCGAATTGTCAACCATAAGTACGTTGTACTGTTCATATACTCTTGCCCCTTAGTCAATGAGCGAGGTCCTCACTTCCTACGCCAACACTTGAATTGTCAACCATCCGTACGTTGTACTGTTCATACACTCTTGCCCGGTTCTCTGCCCACCATTGTTCTGCTTGTTTTTCACTAAACCGCTTCCGGCTGCATTTCACAATAATAAACACGTTTTTTTTCAGATGTAAAAATCATTCCTGCGATTTTATTTTCTTCAGGTAAAATAATGACCCACCCCTTCCCCTTTTCATTATTACACAACCTAGCAAAGGTAAGGAGAAACAATATATGGTGCCCTGTCAAACTGTCTATTGAGGTGACAACATCAATAACAACCTTATATAACACATTTCCTCGCCGTACTTCGTGGCCTTACACTGGAAAAATGTAACCATGACCATTAATTATAATTAAGGATATTAATACCATGATCATAACTAGGCACAAACAGATCCCACAGTTATATTTTCGGATATCAATAGCGTGAATGTAAATTTGGTCTAACCTTGATGTTCACTGCAAGGGCGAGAATATGGAAAAACTAATTCAGTTTTATGCAGTCACTATGTCATTATACAAATTTATCCAGCAAGTATAAAGCAAGGGATCATAAGATGATATGCCCAAAACAAAGATGGAATAGAGTTCGATGCTACATACCTAAAACGAACTCGTTTAAGATCCTTGCGACCTCCAGGTAAGGAGGTAAGGGTGATATAAACACCAGGTTCGTCTTGCTCTACCCATTCATTCTCATTGTGAGAATCGCTTTCCTTTGTTTTGTTTCCATTTCTTGCCATTGCTTCTAGGTGACCTTGTCTGTTGTGACCAAAGCTGTGGTTACTTGCAATGCTCGGCCCATTAGAAAGTAACTGGTTGCTTAGTTCATTTGATTCCAGTTCCTGGGCAGTTATTTGACCATTCAAACGGACAAGAGAGGCACTTGAAACGTCGTTGGATACAGGAGTGGGGCCAACAGAAGTAAAGGGAGGAGATTTGGTGTTGCGAGCAGAACCCACAGGAAGCCTTTCAGCCATTTCCTTCAGCTATACACGTATAGACAAGAAATTGTTTCAACAAGTGAAGCCATCCATAGGAAGTGTATAATAAACTGAAATAGGAGCCCATATCCAGTTTTTTACAAACCAGAAGGGTAATATAAACCAAAATCAAGCAAAAATCTCATCAAATTAATTTGTCCAATGGAAAAGAAGAAATTGAAAGAGTACGTGTGTCTACTTGGATTAAGTAAAAGTAGTCCTATAAAGACGAGGTCAAGTAACATTATATGTCATCACAACTCCAAAGTAGGACATTAGTTGTCAGAAGCAATTTTCCACCTTAACAATGTGTGTCAAAAACATTTTCAAGGAAAGCCTGCCTATAGCAGCTTTTAGTAAAATGCATCTTTCTACATCTCCAAGGATGAGTTTGATACATCCCAAATCTTTCTCAAGTTGGATTTCATACAGAAAACGTCAACTGCAACAATATAACATATGGCAGCGACTGACAAGGACATATGGAACAGAATTTTTTTTTGACATGCACTTGTCTCAAATGTTCTTGAAAACAAATTGGAATAATCTCTGATTCTGTTCAGGAAATAATGAATCATTTCTATCCTAAGATACGTGCAAACAAACTGGACATTTATATAATTGATGAGCATATATACTGGTCTTACTTGTATGGTAAGTGACTTAATCACTTCTTTGGCTGCTTTGCATTTGGCAGTCTCTTCCCCTGCAATGGCTATTGCCTCCTTCAGCTGTTTAGCAGTTCTTTCTAGCTCTATCTCTTGAAACTGAGCCTTGTGAGTAAGACTCTCCACCTGTGAAAAAAGCACGGTCAGATGTGTGTTTAAGTGGTGCCAACTCAACTTCAAACTGGTGTCAAATCTTCATTAGAGCATAATGGGTGTGCATTTGTCCCCTCGATTAAACATCTTTAGCAAACATTTTAGTATTCAAGCACAGGAAGTGCTACATTCACCCCTACCCAAAAGAATGAAGAGAGAGAGAGAGAGGAAAGGGGGTCGGAAATATTGGTTGTCAAGGACAATGTACCATGCACTGCAAATAACAAGACTCAGTTTTGAGAGGTGGAATGAGACCATTAAAACATATTCATCTGCAGGACTGTATTTACGGCCACAAAATTTAAAGTAATAGTGAACTCACTTTAGCCTTATAAGCATAATTGTCTAATCGAGAACTTCCCTTTAGTGTAATAAAATTTCTTTTAATCACATCTCTTATTCATAACAGGCACCATATAGAGAGGTATTTGCAGAACAGAAGATGTGGATGCATCCATCTATTCTCTTCTTCCATCGTCGAAAAGGATAAAACCTCTGGGACAGATTTGCACAACTCCGTATTATAAACAGACTCATGCTCTCTTCAACATCATCAATTATTTCTAGTATAACCTAGCAGGAAGGACAGTTTCTTTCATACGATGTAACTGCTGATCATTTGAAAAGCATCTTCATCTTTTCCGCAAATTAATAATCCCCATTGCCATTGTAGTGCAAAACATCAACATAAGACAAAAGGAGGTAAAAGAAGGTTGGACAATTAGAAAGCTACAACATAATCAAATGGTAGGCAAGTCAAGATGTACCTGTGCCCTTAGCTTAATGACTTCTTGGCCAAGGCTATCATTTGTCCTTTTAGCCTCATCCAATACAACCTTTGGTGAAGTAAGTCCACCCAAGGTGGGGGTTGGTGTAGTAGAACGTGGAGGACTAGGTCGTCTCGATACAGGTGATGTTGCTCGAGAAACAATTCTTGATCCAGGAACTGAAGCTGAGAAAAATTTCTTGGACGATCCAAATACTGGATTGAAAGATTTAGAGATATTAAAGGCCCCCGACTGAGAACTTCCATTGGGTATGGGTGATACCCGGCTGCTGTTAAATTCCAGTTTTTTGTTTCTCTTTGAAGAGCGGCTCTCCACTTGCTTGAAAGATTCCATTGAAGAAAATCTAACTAGATGGGGATGAGATCTGGTATCCAACTTATTATCTTTGTCAATAAGATCATTTGGACCAACCTGATTCAAACTTCCTCTTCTACTCACAGATGACTGAGATGATGTGTCAGTTTCAATAGCTTTCTTCAATTTGTTGAAACAATTATCACAAACTCGATATGGCTTGCTGGGATTTGGTGC